TTTCCATTTAGTCACGACTGGATAATGGTATTTGTTCATTTTCTGAGCAGAGAAAAAAAATTAAAAAATGTACTCGTTGTGGAAACCAATATCGTGATTACCGACAAGCACAAATCTACGAACCCCTTTTGGAACGTACAACAACTGGTCAAACCGATCAGCATAATGGCTAAACACTATATCAGGACCCAATAAACCTTCGTCAAACTGGTCACCTACGGAAATACGTTTATGAGCGCTACAAGTTACAATGCTAGTAGTAGCAATAACAAAATAAATTAAATCCAAAAATGAAAATATGAAAACACCAGTAAACCACTGGTGCCACCAGCACTAGAAACACCTCATACAATCTCGTTCTAAACGCTACGGCAATATAAAATTTTGAACAAAACAATACAGTAACGTATTACTACTGCTCGGCTGCAGGAAATTCAAACCAAGAAACTCTTTTTCTTTGTTCTACAATAAAAAAAAATTATTTAAACTCATCAAACCAAATAAAGAATCAAAAAAATGGATCAAAATAAATGGAATAATGGATCATTCCATGGTGGCTCAGCACAGACCAAAAAAGATTCTAGCCGTTTCAGAAAAACTGAATTAATCTAGATAAGTTTAAAGTCAAAAAACAATATGCTACCTAAGAAAAAAATGGCGTCAGGAGTCAAAAGATGAACCGCTGTCTGAAATGAGCGATACATTTGCCACTCCCTAAACAAAATAGAAGAACTTCTCTATTCTGTTGACAGAAGAATGCATGAGGAAAAAGATTGTAATCAGTGGAACTGCTGCTAACTAACCTTCGCAGTTTGTCAAACCAGTGTCCCCGATATATGCCAAGAAGATGTAGATCTGCAATGACAAAAATCCTGGATACAGGCTTAGTTTGATCAACCAGTGCTGACCATTGGCATCCAAGCGCTATAGTTAAGTAATAAACGAGGAATTCATTGTAGATAAGAGTGATCACAATCACCGATATTACGATCAGAAAAAAATTCCTTCTTTTATGTAGCGTCATCGTCCCGTCGGATGCTGTGGGCAGCTTCAACAACAAACGTCCAATGTTTTCTGCGCTCAGCTTGAGCAAAAGCATGAAAAAAAAGATCATATTTATCGGTTACAATAAATATCTCGTTACGAATATCAAAAACGTAATTCAAAATTTATACACCAGCGTTATTTCCCATAGCAAAGTATAAGTTTTTGTTCATTTTAGAGTTTTCTTCCACCTGGTGGTTTCGAGTTTGTTTCCTTGGTGACTTTTAAAACAAAAACTCGAAAAAGGACTAAAACCAATACGAGCCATTGATATACACGATCGGCAGCTTTGCAAAGAACACTGATGAGATTGATGTCTATTTACTGTTGCAGATTAGCAAAACGGTTAACCAAAATCAGTTTTGATCCGATTGGTTGGGAAGCACCAGTTGCAGAAGCACCAGAGAGAGGAAAAAAAATCAATGAACTTATATCCAAGCAAACAAGTAACACAAAATCACTGGTTAAAATCTACCCCGCTATTCGCTACTGCTTACTCTTCCCTCACCAGTCGTTAATATTCGGGCTGTTAGGTGCTGAACAACAATTTTTGGCGGATTCCTTTGTCCGGTCAAAAGTGTATGTCCAACCTCAGAAAACTACCCTTCAACCCTTCTCGTCCGTTTCTTGCCTTTCAAAAGCCTCAAAATCTCCATAGTTTGTAAAAACTTGGCAGAACCAACAACAAATGTTTTTGAAAAAACCAAACAAGAAACCGGAAAAAGAGATTGAGAACGACGATTACACTTGGAAATGAGGTAGCTAGGACGAGTCTGACTAAACCAGCGGCTTTAAGACACAGAGAACAAAAAAACATGTATAACTTATAACTAAGGGCTACAAACCACAACGTAAATTCCGACGATATAAGCGAAGGAAAGAGAAGGGAGGTACGCTACCTATAAGCGAGTGTAGAAACCACACAAAGTAAGTGAATTACACAGATGTCACATAGATGCGTTGAACTGAAGGAGTCGGGCAAGTTGGTTATCAATAATTAGAATTGCCCGCTCATAATAGCCTCTTTTGTGGTACTCTGATCGACCGATTTGGTCCTGAACTGTGGAAAACTGGATATGTGGAAACAGTGAATTGAAATTCATTTCCAACTGATAGTGAAAGAACGTAGAAGCCAATTCGTAGAATCACTTCATTTATCGATCTGAATGCCAGTGATTCAAACGAACTAATTATGCTGGAAAACTAACTGTTCACAGTGGAGAAAAAGAACATTCAAGAGGAACTGTGGTGACAGCATATAGGATAATTCTGATCAATGCTGCGAGACTTCAATAGTGTTGAAGTTGTTTGAGTAAATACACTTACAAATCTCGGCCTTGTTATCGAACGGAGCAGTAAGGAAGCAAGTTGTCATTCCAAAGCTTGTAGTTGTACTCAGTGCAAGTTCCAAAAAACTTTATTAACTTTGCAGGGGTTGTACTATTAAATAAAGATGAAGAGCCCTGCATCACGTAGCTGTTCATCAGTTTCACAACACTCCATCTGCGACCTTCGGAAAAGCAATAATATTCATCAGCACTTTCCCCCCTGAATGCCGTAGAAGTGCCGTCTATTCATACGTCTTTCGTGGCCGTTTGACTATCTTTGGCTGATTCCTGCACTTTCAGCCAACAAGAATAACCTCATCTATGAAAGGAAAGATTGATTACTTTGAAAGACAATCATATACTGGCTGTCATGGAAGACCTGAGAACTGCTGCAGATAGCTTCTCAAAAGTAGCATAGTTGCAAACACCACAGTTCAGATCGCAATAAATTAAACTTAAAATGGGAATATAAATTACGCTAATAAACATCACATAAAAGATCCACCTAGACCTGTTTGATTAACAACGTCAACAAAAAGTCAAGAAACACTGACTGTCTGAAAACTGTATATCTACAGATCACGACAGTCAGCGATCTGAAAGACTTGGAAGTTGTAAACGGCAACAAACGTCTTGACAAGTCCTGAATTGCTGTTAAAAAAGCAATCAGAATTAGTTAATATAATTACATGTTTGATATATTTAAACAATCTGCTTGTTGAGCATACAGAACCCAAAGAAGCATAATAAGAGGTAAACAAGTCAACAGTTGCATCATATTTTTTGGAGTACAAATCTAGCAAAAAATTTTTGATAAACAATTAGAAAACCTTATTGTCGATGAATGATATATAGCTAACAATCCTCCAGAATACGATTTATTTTTTACATAGTGAAAAATTTTTATGCTTTCAATTCTGATACAAAAACAAAATTCTTAACCTCGTTTAGACAAAAAAAAATAAAAAAAAGAACCGAACTTTTGATGAAACTTTAGAAGACAACGGACAAATTTTTATTGACTTTCAAAGAATCAGTGCAGTTGCACAGCAAAATACTCTGTGTTACGCCTTCAGTGTTACTTCAAACAGTGTTGAAAAAGAGTTAAGCGTGGCCATAAACTATAATAATATGACAGATCAACAGGTCAACGTACAATAAAATTATTTTGTTCCGATAGGTAAATGCTGGTGATCAGTACAGCAGATCAGAATTTTTTTTTTTTTTTT